AATCTGTCTGTCATGATTCCAGCAGTTCCCCTGAATAAGCGGAAACCTGTGGAGTATTTGAGATTGCCAACAAGAAATGAGCAGTCCGTAAGAGATGGGGAAGGTCGTCTTCCAAGAAATTTAGGCAACAATGACATTACCAAACTCCTGGACGACTTGGACAATCAGACGGAGGCCATAAAGAGTGGCCAGCAGATTGGTGAAGAGCTTTTAGGAGATAAAAACGAGACTGGAGGTAGTTCATTCATAAACGGTATGACAACGCGTACAATGGTTTTTCAGACAATAGGTTTCTTCTAACAACAAATTGACACACCCTTAATGTCAAGTTGTGCTTTTTAAATATATATTAGCCTCAACTTGAGTAAAAATGTGTTTTTTACTGTTAGAACATAATCAGAAAAACACAGACAACATTGCAGAGGAAGTAACAGGTATGCAGTGTATGTCAAATCTTATATCTGTGCATGTCAAATCTTATATCGGGGTTGTCACCCTAAGAGTGATGTCACATGTAGTGAGCCAAAGTGCAATGCGTATATGAAATAGTTAGTCTGTGATCGACTAAAAACAATGGTTGCAGCATATGTGCACATCCTGCAGTACTCATATCAAGACGTTGATTTGTATTGATCAGAAAATGAGCCTAGCATAAAGGAAATGCTTCTTCGGAGTACAGCAGATTACACATGAGCAGCAAAACAGTAAGAGATGAAAACTGTAGCATTCAAACCTGTAGGACAGGGTGCCAGTTCCAAAAAAAATATTGAATCTATGATGTGTTAATATATTCTATCGACAAAGAAAATACCTATCTTAGTCAGTTGCACGATCAATTAGAACTTTTGAAAGAAACTTGTAGTTTTGTCGTCCAATTTTACACTGAACAAGCCATCTCACTTTTTATCAAGGACACTTGTCAAAAAAAAAATTGTTTCTATGTAATGAATGTACCCTTTCAATCTCCGTTGACACTAAATGAGTAAATAAATATCTTAATTGACCACACCCACAATTAGGTTTTTCAGAGCCTTTGGAAACAGACAATGAAACAAATATTGTAGATAACATAAACTGGTTAAAAATCCCGACCTGCAGGAGGAAGACCAAGTTGGCTTTTTACAAGCGTGGCCGAGGAGTTGAACTCGGAACTACCGAGAACAAATCCATCTTAGTGGTCAGAATGGGACTAAACCCGCGAACTCGGGATTTCAAGTCCGGCACCCTAACCACTCGCTCGGCGACGCTGTCTCTCTAGAAAACGTTATTCAGGAGAACTGCGCCTTTGAAAGCTTATTATAGATTATAGTGTTTTACTGTACACTTATGCCAAAATAAGGATTTTCATTACCTCCTCTCCTTTCAACTAAATACACGATACTTTTTCGTCGATAATTTTCAGATAGCGCCTCGGAGGCAGTGAGAATAGCAGACGCCCCGGTGCTGGTTGATACAAACGGAGTTCCAGAGAAAACAACAGCTGTAGAGAGTGGAGCGTCCTATTTGGCTGGCAAACCTCTGTTGATACTTAACAAAGAAAACAAAGATCCAGATGTAAACAAGTGGTTTCTCTACTATCCACTCTCTACAGAATCTGATCAACAAACAGCTTAACAAATGAAGCTTTATTTTGGTATTGTTCTGTTAAATTATGGTAATGTATTACTATATTTCAAGTTTCTAACGTTGCGTGGAAAACTGTGTTGAATGCAGTTTTACGGCACTGGAATTGTATTTTTTATACGTAAGTTGAAAATGGAGCTCGCTCTACTGCTGCATTTGATTTTTAGTAAAATCTCTGATTTCACACCTTTTGGGCATTCACTTCCCCTTCACTCTGGACCGCCATGTTGTATTTTTCAGAGTGAAACATGTTGTATTGGACTAAACATATTGCATCAGACTAAATATTTTTCGGCCAAATGTGAACCCACAATTATTGTTCAGGTAAAAACACTTAAAGAGAATTTGCTTCAATTAAAGTTTTGATAAGCTGTAAAGGTACAGTCACAATACTAAATTATTCGGCCTACTAAAGTTCTCTTAATAATAAAGTGTATTATCGTTTGTCTCACGATGTAGTCACTGAGATGTAGATCGCGACGTTTCGACTGCTTACTGCTAGTCTTCTTCAGGCGATAA